GGAAAATTCAGCCACATCCTTGTGTCTCTAAAATGCATATAATGAATAAAACCCAATTCCAATTCAGACATCATCATTAGGACAGAAAAGAAAACAAACCTAAGTAAGTTTGAATTTGTTTACAACAAGAATTGAAGCCTAAGTTAAATTCAAGATTGAGTAAAAACATTACTGTTGTTATTGATTAATAATTTCTCTAAGAAACCACAGTATGAAAAATAAAAGCAATTATATATTATAAAGAAAGGAGATGGTCCGGGGTGGCGGTCATAAATAGGCTAAATAGTGGAAAAACTATTTTATTAAAAGCCAACGTTTGGACCCGACTTTGCAGGTCTTCTTCAAGAAGGTGTGTTCAGCAAGGAGTTTCACTTAGAACTGAGTTCTAACGGAGATTCACTTGAGTTCTAAGTAAAACTCCTAGCTGAACACACCTCTCTGAAGAAGACGTTACAAAGTCGGGTCGAAACGTTGGCTTTTAATAAAATAGTTTTGCCACTATTTAGCTTATTTATGACCGTCACCTCGGACCATCTCCTTCCTTTATAATACAACGGTCAACTATTAAATATTCAATTATATATTATATCAATACCATTCTTGTTTATCGGAAAGTTGGCATGAATGAAATCTGAATAACTGATCTTCGATACAAAAGTTTGCATTGTTCACTTTGCTCCATTAATATAATTATCAAGAGTTCTATTAATAAACAGATGTTATACAATATTAAGATGCATGGAAGGAAGCCGTTCATTTTCGGGTCTAGGGAGGCTTCTTTTTTTATATTTTTATTTTATTTATTTATTTTCTAATCAATCAAAAGGTATAGGATTGAGATACGGGCTAACAACACACCTGCAGTTCTAACAACCCCCTATTGATAAAGATGTTCCCACGTCCTTATCTGTTTTTAGTTTAATTTAACATATTCAAAGGGAGATCAGAGCTTGAAGGATTCCCACCAAATTAATTTCAGTCCATGGTAAACATGTATTATATTAAACCGAAAACAAAAACAAGAATGACCAACTCTCATCAATTAGATACTCATGAATGTTAAACAGTTTTTTTGTTTTTTAGCAAACATTGAATCAGCAAAAGTCCAGCCAGCTACGGAGTTGTTAGTTCTAAAAAAAATAAAATAATTTCTTGACTTTTTCTGATTTTCCAAATATATTTCAGAGTTTTGCAGCTTGTTAACTCCACAATTTTTTTTAACCATTAAATTTTTTTATCGTTTAGGCCAGGGGTGCCCATACTACGGCCCGCGAAAGTTCTTTGGTTACAAGGTAAAATAAAAAAATAAATATATATATATATATATATTAAAAATACGAAACTTAGTAAGTCACTCGAATACGAGGTAACTACATTTATTGCATGAGGTGGTACTCCTAGAAAGCTCATTTCAAACTGAAGTGCCAAAACGTGACGTTTTTTTTTTTCATCACATACACGCGAGATTCAGTGGAGATGTAAATGAGGCCCGCGAGTCAAAAACTTTGGAGTCCCCCGGTTTATGCTATCAAATTATAAGAATTAAAGTTTAACGTTTAATTAAAGTTTTTAGGAAGCATGGCGAAAAGGAAAATAAATAAATTATTCCTTAAAGAACAAGATAATCTATTTAAAAATCCTCCTGAAACTTCGTAAATAGTTTCATCTCATCGTAAATAGTGTCACCTCCTGCACATACCACGCCCTGATGAAGACCTGCAAGGTGGATCGAAACGTGACGTTAAAATAATTAAAAATAATATTTTTAAAAATTTAGTATTTGTTTGACCGCACCCCCGGATAAACTCTTCCTCATAATTGCATTATACTTTCACAATGGTTACGACCGAATGAATAATACATTACAGTTTATAACAGCATTAGAGAGAAAAGATAATTAAATTCCCATGTTTTCAACCATTTTTTCTTACATTTCTCGTTTTTTCCTCGCAGATTTGAAATTCCCTGACTCTTCCTAATAATCCTAGTATTTCCAGATCTGTACGAAACCATAAATTATTTGAGAACGCCTCTTTTAACATTGAAAAATTCATATAAAACACCAAATATAATAGCCCGTGGCACAGACCCTATTTTAGCAAATTATTAACATCCGCCTGAAACTTCGTAAATATCTCCATCTCATCATAACCTACAAATATTTTATTTACAATAATTCCTGGAATTGGGGCATTTTCAATCTAGAGGCTGGCAAACTTTATCTATTTCATTAGGTATTAAAAACTCGTAAATACCCATTAGCTTTCCACCTGAATCGTGAAATAATTTGAGCACAAAGATTCGAGGAAAAAGATGGCCTTAAAAAATATTGAGCCGTTTGGCGTGACCTACATCATCACGGACTATAACATAATAAAGCAAATACTTCAGACATCGACAAAATCCAGGTTTAATTGAATCAATAAAATCTGAATATAAAGAAAACTAAAAACAGAGACATAAATTAGTTGTAATTTAAGTTTAATAAATCATAACAATTTTTTTTCTCTCCAAAAACTAAAATCAGGAATACTTATTTTAACCTATAGGTACACACAGACAGTCAAAACTACCGATTTATTCTAAACCCTTTTGGTTCGTGCATTAAGGATTCATTAAAAAATAAAATATAATTAATCTTTTTTTCATCACAAAATTAATTAATGATGTTGACTTTTTGGCTTATTGTGTGAATTGTTAACAACATTTTTAAGCATTTAATCACAAAAAAAGTATCATTGTGATGGTGAGAAAACATATTTGTTAATTAAATTAAGATTGGTGATCAATTAAATAAAATATGCTAGTGAGGTTTTAACAATATGAATACAAGCTAAACTGAGTTGATATTATTCATCTATGTCCTTAAGGATTATATAAATGGGAGCCAGAGCTCAATTCAGCAATTGAAATAAACAAAACATCAATAAAGCTTTTGTTATCAGCGCCATTGATAAACTTGTGATGAATGAGTGATTCATCGTTGAAAATTCTGGTTATAGGCTCCTTAGTGGTACTAGCGGATCCAGGATTTAATTTTGGGGGCTTCAGCCCGAAACTTTTTTTTTTTCATGTATATAACGATAATTATTTTGGAGAAAAAAAAAAAAACTACCTACGCATATGAAATTGTGTGTAAGTGATTCATGAAGTCCTATTAGATGTAATTACACGTAGAAAAATACTTTAATAGATAATTTTTTAATATTTTTCGCCATAAAACATGGTTACATTTTACCATTTTTGGAGGGGTGGAGGGAGGCTTCTGCTCGAAAGCGCCCCTCCCTCCCCCGTATAACCGCCTATGTTTAGTAGGGATATGGAGTTCTTCTGATATATAAATTATCAATTAATAAATGAATTTCTGTAACTTTATCATAAAATGCATAAGTAATAAATCAAATATAAGTTTTTTAAGTAAAATATAGAACATAATAAGAGATACAAGAAAACTTGAATTCAGTTATAGTCTATTGTGAATTAGAATTAATTTTTTTTTTTTTTCACTGAGCCCATAAAATATTTTATTTATTTGCTATGATATATTTGAAATTATCAACTCGTTTTAGATGATAATTACTTCTAAACATTTGTAGATGTATGAATTTTTTCTGCAAGGATTAGCATCTCTCGAATCATATCTTGTCAGGTTTTTTAAACAGTATTTACTTTTTTTTGAACAGTATTCACAATAATTTCTAAAAAGTAAAAATAATATCAAATTATACAGGATACATTTTATGAAGTTCATTATGTACTTTGTTATACATAGTTCGACAGAGATTAATTAGCTGAGACTCTTAAATACCCGTATCTCATTAATTTACTTAACTAATGGAGCTATCATATTTTTATTTCCAAGTTTCTTTTAAAAATGGGTGAAATCCGCTGTTTTCGATACACTTAAGGAAACTTAAAAATGTGTTTGTCAATCCCGTAAGTACTTGGTTCAACAATTTCGGTTCTGTCAAGTCAGTAAATATCTCTAATTTCAAAATATATATATGAAACAGTGCTTTTCATTTTTTTTTTTTTTATAGTAAAGCAGAAAAATGTAAACATATCCTTATGCGCCATTTTGGCACCGCTTTACCAATTTTCAAAACCTAAAAAGAATTAACTCTGGCAGCCTTTGAATGAACTACAATGATATTGTGCAGGATTGCTGTTTCTTGCCAAAAGCGCCTTCCTGGGCGACACCTGTCAGGTTCCTAATCTTCAGCGATTGTTTCGATATATCAAACTAAATAAATAGTGGAAGATCGCCTTTTGCCATAGACCATTCCCAACACGCTTAGTATTCTTTGATAACTGCAGTGGGTGCCGAAGCTAGGAATTTAAGTATATACATATATATTTTTTTTTAAATAATTTAACTATATATAAAACGCTAATTAAGAATTCTTGTAATCGAGAAAATGCAACTATTCGTATGTTTTATTTTTATTGCTTATATTACTTACTCTATTCAGAATGGATACAAAAAGTTCATGAAAACAGCAAAATTAACAAAGTATACATAATAGCGAATTAGCTATGAACGACTTTAAAAATGATTATTTTTTTGTCATCTTTTGTGATAATTCAATATAAGGAATAGGCCAAAGTTTAGTTTAATTAGTTATTAATTTTATAGTTATTAAAAAAGTTTTAGAATATTTGCTCAATATTTTCGTCTTTGTCTCGAAATCCATTACCATTAAATTAATTAAAAGTAGGAGAAGAACCAACGAAGTGCTGGCTTAGAGATAGGTTCAAGTTGACCGAAGTTGGATGATGTTAAGGATGATAGACAATTATAGATCCAGGCCGATACGAATTTAAGAGGAAATATGGCTGATCCAAACGATTTGGATTTCTCTTCGGAAAAGGATATGACATGCCTTACTGACATATTACAATCGTTTCAGAGCTACCTTTACATCATACCAAATCAGAATCAGAGGTTATATTGTAATTAGATATAAATAAATATATAATATATAAATAAAGTGCCTTACTTCCAAAGCTGGCCGAGAGTCTTGCTGAGCTCGGCGTTGTGGAGCGTGGGGTACTGGTCGGAGAGCCGTCTCCTGGCAGCCTGGGCCCACACCATGAAGGCGTTCATCGGTCTCTTCACGTGGGCCTTCTTCTTCTCTGAGGAGTTCCTGAGGAACAAAATGGCGATCAATTAATGGTGGGTTAATAACAATAAGTTCAATACAAATAATATCACAAGAATTATAATCATTCAATAGAAATTACCCTCTTTCACAGTACATTGTTGGAACAGAATGGGAGGTCGTAATGGTCGAAGGTCTTTCCATGCTAGTTAGGATGGGTTCGATTGCACCTCTAGAACATGTTACCCCTCCCCGCATACCAAAAATGGTGAATAGGGAGTAATCGGGGGAAAAATAGGACTTAAAAAATCGTACTTGATATTGTTATCATTGATATTGATATCGATTGTTAGAGTAAAAATCATCAAAGTATGTCTCTTATAAACGTGGTTCTTGAAAAGACAAGCTGCACAAAATATGTATCCTATCTTATTATGCACAAGTGTTATAATAGTAGATAACAGATAGATTTAATGTCCCATCGATAATAGTACGGTGGCAACTATCTAGAAATCCGAAAAATCTGAAAATTATGCCTCGGTTCCCAAAGAATATAAATGTAACAATAAATTCTCTAATATTATTTTTCAGAAGGGTAAATACAAGGGTTTAAAAATAATAATCTTATGGAATAATATAGAACCAATAATATGTTGGAGAAAATAAATTAAATTTTATTTAATTAAAATTCAATATGATGACAACTATGTATTTTTGACTTGAAAATGGGCAAAAGTGCATATGTCGTCCGGCGTTTCTGTGACTGAAAATTTAATAAATGGGGTTTGAAATAGATCCTCATGAAAGCAAAAAAAAAAAAAAAAATGTTATAAATAATGAACTTTTTACAGTATGTTAAGATTTAAGTGTTTTATATTGTTTGTAAAAAAAAAAAAAATAGCAAACTTAACAGGTTTTTGCATTTTTTTAGTTTTTTAATATTTTATTTGTCTTGTGAAATTCTAAAAAATATCACTTTCCTTCCTAAAATTCATTAAAATCACGAGAAAGAAAAAAAAATTATGCAATATAAATCTGTCTCCATCGAATAGAAGAAAAATGTTTGAATATTATTATAAATTTAAGAAAGACCTCTATTTCTTTACTCCGACTTCAATAATATTATTAACATTTTCTAATGTAAAAAAAAAAATAATACATAGAAAAAAGTATTTTCATTCAATATAGGTAAAATCCAACTAAATAAATCCAAATTATGTCTTTATTTTAAAATAAATTTGAAATTACATATAATAATATTTATTAAATGTACTAAGCCATAAAAGGTTTTGAAAACTTAAGAAAATTACACCAAAATATCGGAAAATTAGCGTCACTTATTATTTAGCGAGAAATTATTAACCGAGTATCTCCTATTTCTGATTATATCGTATTTCTGGTGTTAAGTAATCCGAAATCATATTTTTCCTTTTATTTACCTATACATGAAATGCATAAAGTATTGTGTGAAAAATTTCAAATACACGTTTTGAGGTCCCTTCAGTCCAAATAACGAAGTCTCAAATGGTCTGTGTGTATGTCAAGTCTAGCTCAACAACGAGAAGTCTTACGAAACTGAAATTGCGTATTTAAGTTTTGCATATGCTTGGGATGTTACAGCGACATTTTTATCTAGATTGGCAAACCAGAAGTGTCACTTTATATCATCGATTTAACACATTTAAATATCTACGTGCTAGTAAAATTATAATAAACCTCTGAAGTAATTATGCGCGCAGCATATCTACTAAATTTCGAATAATGCAAAAGAGCACAGCAAATCTTGTAAAGAACTATATTAGTTCAAATAAATATTACCCGAATATTTGGAAATATATTTTTATAGCAGTTTCCTTCTGGTTTATAGTTGTAATTGGATACATAAATTTATTTTGTGTTCACAAGTAATAAATATTATGGTCCCGAAGAAAGATCAAACCAAATCGGACCACACGAGTTGTGGTTAATGTTTAAGTGCGTGGCATCGAAAAAAAAATACTGAAAAAATGCTGGTAGCCTGAGCAGGCCTGAACTTAATCCAAGTTGAGTGTGAGCAGGCGTTCGAGTGGCTCGGGATTAGTTTTTATTTGAGCTGCGTATCGATAAAAAAAATATACTTTAAGAGCTATATCCTGGGTGGTTCTCTTAAATATTTGTACGTATCCATTTCAATGTGTTAACTATATTTGAACCCAGAGTAGTAAATATAAAAAGTCAAACTAAAATAATCTAACTTATATAGCTTAGTGTATTTTTATTTATTTTTTTTTCTAGTAAATATACTTTAGGTCTCACTTCTCTCATTCAATTGTTCTTATTATTCGTGAAATAAAAACTAAGTGTTCCCTATCACTGAAAAGCTGATTACGTTTGATATTTAAATTTAATAGTATTCTGACATAATGAAAAAAAATTCGTACGCATACAGAAAAGAGAAAAAAAAATCCATGGCCTCAAAGAGATAACACTAGATAACCTTTATTTCCTGTCTTTCATCTAAACACTTTTCCGAAACTGATATTTATGTTATGCCAATCTTCTATACTGTTTATATAGCAATAAATTAAAGAAAATATTACCGGAATATTTAAAATAAATAAGTTATATTTATATTTTATGAATTAATTTTTATTTAAAATTTAGATCGATATAAAAAGTTTGCAAAAACTATATTCAACATTTTTTTTTGGTCAAATGTCAATAGAATTATTAAAAATAAATGTTAAAATAATTTTTTTTCAAACTACTTGTTAATTCCACTAATTACTGATTTATTTAATTTTTTTAGTTTCTTTATTAATAACTTGTCTAATTTTTCAGCACTTCAAAATATTTTATTAAATATTTAGATTGATATAAATAATTAACTAGAATTATATTGAACATTTTGTAAATCAAATTATAACAGAATCATTGATGGTAAATATTTAATTAAAAACTTGAGTCCTTCTGAACTATTTGGTAATCCCATGTATTAATGATTTTTTTTTCAGTTTCTTTTTCAACTGTTTTTAATTTTTAAAACTTTAATGTTTTTAATTTTCAAAACTTTAAAAATGTTTTTAATTTCCAAAACTTTAAAAATGTTTTTAATTTTCAAAACTTTAAAAATGTTTTTAATTTTCAAAACTTAAATTAAATGGTTTACTAGAATTAAGGTGAACATTATTTTTATCATGTCATAATCGAATCATTGAAGCTTTAAAATTAATTAAATACTTTAATCCTGCTAAACAATTGGTTAATTTCAATAATAACTGATTTTTCGGTTAATTTTTGATTAACCATTTATAGATCATATTTTTAGCGAATTCGCCAGAACTTTTAAATAAAAATATAAGGTCTGTAAAACCTTTACTGAAAAAGTTGGAAAGGGAATAGTTCTAGTTCCAAAAAAATGAAAAATATCTACTACAATAATTTCGGTAATATCGAAACTTTTAAAATACAGTTGTTTTTTCGTTTCAGGACCTGGTGTTTGAAAGTATAAATAATGTACAGAACTTATTTAATGTCGTTAATTATAGGACTCACCGTAAAAATTCGAATTATTCCGATACTTTGAACATATTGGAGAAGTCCAATAAATCTAATTCATTTGTTTTTATCTTTCCGTGATCAGTTGTTGTTTTATGATAACCTTCCTCCTATGTGCTTTTTCATTACTTGTTTTTTTAAAAAATTATTATTATTTCTATTTGTTTGTGTCATATTTATATTTTATTTTGGTATTTGGTTGGATTGCGTTTTTTCATATTTGTTTTGCTGATCAGCTGTTCGATTATAACCTCCCACAGGAGTGTTATCTTCCTTTCGGTATACAAATGGATGTTGCAGAGAGATGCGATCTTAATTTTTTTTTTATGATTATAGGGCCTTATGCTTTAATTAGGCTGTATGCTTAGATTTTCTCAATTATAATCTCTAACAACTATTTTCTGTCTCTTGGTGAGTTTTTACACGTTTATATTATGTTACACCGATTACGTTCGGACTGTTCTTTATGCAGTGCTGAGTGGAGTGATGATTGTATACCAAGTATCGTTGGTGGGTTCGGCATTGAAGGTACGCTAAGCAATATGATTAATTAAAACCGAGACATTACAGATCAAAAAAGGAATGGTATCTAATGAATAATGTAAATTTGACATACGCCAACGTAGAAGTGTAGTGATTAGATGATTGTAAGCTGATAAATGTTGAAGGATTTACGACCAGGAGCAACATTGTAGCATTTACGATCCGGAAGGATCAGGAATGCAAATCTGCAGCTGTTGTATTGGGTAGTATTTAAGACTTTTAGAAAAAGGCTACTAATGAGAAGATAGTGGCTGGAGGAGAGTTAGCAACAGTACGCGAAGCTACCGTCCTCAAACATCTCCCACAAGTTAACTACACCCGCAAACAGATAGGTGTTTGCCGGGAGCAAATAATCTCAAACGGCTTCCCATACTTCCCACAGTCGCAGATTCCAGTCTTGGACATACCAGTTTGTGGTACGTGTAGTGATAACGGACCGTTGCTATTGGGTTTGTTTTGTTGTTATGTTACTTGTTGCTTTAAGTTTTCTTCAACAAGGAAACGTTCGCTCATGACTAGAGGGAGATAAGCAATACAGATGTTTGTTGTTATGGCAAAGTATGCGATAAATGTTTTTTTTATTAAGATTAGAATGAACAATTATAATATAAGCATCAAGCCAAAGGAAACAAATTTAAAATAAATAATTTCTTTAATATATCTTTTTGATAAAAATTTTCTTTATCCATGTTTAGTTAAAAATTAGGTTCGTTTATTCTGTGTAAATTTAACTTTGCGAAATTTGATAAGTGTATCTTTTGAAACAAATATATAAAACTGTCTTTTTTTGATTGTTTAATGGCAATTTCTATTCCAAGTATTTTTAAGCCAAAATATATTTTTTAATGTAGAATACAGGGGTTAAGTCATAAGTTATAGTCAGAACACTTTTGCCTAACTATCTGCTGCTTATTTTCCAGTGATCTCTCTGTTTTCCTTAACCCGTTGGTACAACTTCAACGTCA